TGAGAATTTTTTTCCAAAATTTTACACTATTTAGGGAAAACAAATTAAATATTTAATTACCAATTGTTTAATACTGGCAGACAATCATCTGACCCATAGGTGGCAGCCATCTCAAGCCAGAGGACGAGAGGACTCTAGCCGCCACGCATATAAAGGATTTAGAGTGAAAAACTTTGTTTTTACGGGTTATACTTATTTGTTGTTATCTCAGCCACCTGAAATTCCATAATTGGCCTAAAGCGGCGGGTCTACGCATTTCTGGGGCTGATGGGGATCATAGAGGCCGTAGGTCAAAGGTCAGGAGGAGAGGTCAGAGTTTGTTCCCAGGTGAGGATTAGAGGGGCAACTTTTGTGATGGACATCGCCCCCACCCCCACCACGCTTGGAGCGTATATTTAAGGTGGTATTTCATTCAGACGCTGTCTCCCCGACAGACCTGGTCTTCACCTGAGGGCGGCTGCTTGCGTTGTGGCCGAAACGTCGTGAGAATTATTTTATTATGTTTTATTTTTTATTATTTTTATTTCCCTTCTACGTGACTTTACCGAAAGAACCAAGAAGATGAATCCCTGCGGTCACGAAAGCTTTAAATCTAAAATTACACATTAGTTACATTTAGTGACTAGGTAACCATTGTCTCTATTTTGCACAACCAGCGTGCGTGTTTGTGTGTGTGTGTTTAATGTTTGCTGCACGACACGGGCTGGAGAAGAGATGGAGTGATGTGGTACGGGAGGACGTGGAGTTGAGTGGACTTGCCGATGAGCGGTACCAGCGGTGTCAAGATCGGCCTCTGTGGAGGAGGAGGTTCGTGAAGGACGCTGCTGCTGCTACTGGGCAGTTGGAGGCAGTCGCCCTCCAACAACAACGGAGGGCAGAGGAGCGACGCTCACAACAACGAGCGGAGCGCCGGGCGGATAAAACGCAGCAAGTTGGCACAGTAGGGGGTACAGCTGGTGGTGCATCTACCGGTCATCTCGGTCAGCCGACCCATGGCACCTGCTGAGTCTGCCCCGAGACCTCCTGCACTTAGCCTGGCACAGTAGGGGGCACAGCTGATGTTGCATCTACCGGTCATCTCAGTCAGCCAACCCACAGCATCTGCTGAGTCTGTCCCGAGACCTCCTGCCAGCAGCGAGCCTTCGACACTTCACGTGGCCTCAAAGTGCACCTAGTCTGGCACATCAGCCGTGGAGACGTCACCGTCACTTAATGGCGAATGGCACGGGTATTGGTGTTGTTTGCTGTTGCTGTTGTAACTCGCTTACCCTGTGCCCCATTCTGGGACACACGCGTGTGTGTGTGACAATAAAACATGAAGAGCTTCATAGCTCATCGGATTCCCTCCCGCGGTATAAATACAGATTCCGACTCTGGCAACATGTTGCTTGGAGCCCCGATGGCAACGTCGTGGCCAGGAGGGAGACAGACAGAGCGAGAGAGTTCGCGTTTGTATTATGACTGCAGGTATTGCGGTCTATGCAAACATGACTCCTTGTAAAAAGGTGTCAGTTTTGTTGCCAGATAGAAGGGTAAAAAACCAATTATCATATTTTTACTGGCAAATGAGGTTCCCATGGTGAGAGTTCGCGTCGTTTTGCCTTTCCTCCTCCTCCGTCGATGAAACGCTCAGACCAGAAGTGGCTTTACCATTTGGTATCAATTCGTTCATGGTTTGCGTGGTCATAGTCGCACCGCTGCTACTGCTGCTACTCGCGGATTGTGGCTGGACCTTAAACTCCCGTTCCTCGGAGGATGCGTGCGCATCGTCGGCCTGCTGATGTGTCCGAAGAGTGCCAAAGAGACACTGTTGATGAGACCCACGTGTGTCGAAACCAATCCTTCAAATGTGCGCACCCAGTGGGGTGGTGTTATAAACATCGCCACTGGGGAGACAAAGGCGGTCGGGCGTGATGGTGCTGGCCACCCACCCACCCCCCGCCGCCACCCTCATTCGTGTGCCGTACCAGGCCTTCGTATGTTCCAAAGAGACGCTGCTGATGAGACTAGATTTGAAGCTTTCGTGACTGCAAGTATTCATATTCTTAGGTCACGTAGGTAAAAAATTAAAATTAATAAAAGTAAAATAAAAAATATATAAAATAAAATTATTATTTTTTTACTTTTATTCATTTTAATTTTCTACCTACGTGACTTTACCGAAAAAAACCTAAGAGTATGCTGATGAGACCCCTGTGTGTCGAAACCAATCACCGCCGCGGTCTTAAATCGAGTTTTCCGATTCTGATGTGTTGCGACATCAGGAGGGCAAAACTGGGCAATTGTGGAGTTTCCGACTCATCGGGACGTGTCGCTTTGACAACTTCCCTTCGCCCGCGGCTCTTTTGAGGATCCTCGCTTTGATCTTTTGAAGCGGCAGCAGCGTCGGCAACTTAACAGCACTGCACCCCCCCTTCCCTGTTTTCCTGAATGACAAAAAAACGTCTTACTCTATTTAAGTGGGGTGCGGGGGGGGGTCATCAGCAACCGTTGTAATTTCGATTGAAAGCTTTCGTGACTGCAGGGATTCATCTTTATGGTTCTTTCGGTAAAGTCACGTAGAATGGAAATAATAAAATAAAAAAAATAAAACATAATAAAAGAATTCTCACAAATTATTTTATTATGTAGTTTTTATTATTTTATTATTATAATAATTCTCACAAATTATTTTATTGTTTTATTTTTTTATTTTATTATTTCCATTCTACGTGACTTTACCGAAAGAACCAAGAAAATGAACTGTTGTTAGTTTCTTTTTTATCTTTTTGTAGGTTTACGGGGCGATTGTTAATTTTATTTGTAAAAAGAAACTTAGAGAAAAAGTATATTTTTCTTCATGTTTAAGGTAAGGCCCCAACTATGTAAGCTCTTTTTCAGACGATATAGTCTCAACGACGTCGCTGATATCGTCATGGTCATGTGGAAATGTCGAGCAGCAGCCAAATATCTCTAAACGCGTGGTGACGACGATTCTAAATGTCGAGGGAAAACCCGGAGAAAAATCCACGCGACCACGGAAAGAGAGACGCAAACTCCAAATATACAGCAGCAGGCGTTAGGGTCGGGATGGAACCCACGACCTCCTGCACACCAGGCGAGGTAGTTAACATCTCCTAGCCACCGTGATGATGATGAGAGAGAGAGAGACACGCAAACTCCAAATATACAGCAGCAGGCGTCAGGGTCGGGATCGAACCCACGACCTCCTGTACACCAGGCGAGGTAGTTAACATCTCATAGCCACCGTGATGATGATGAGAGAGACACGCAAACTCCAAATATACAGCAGCAGGCGTCAGGGTCGGGATGGAACCCACGACCTCCTGTACACCAGGCGAGGTAGTTAACATCTCCTAGCCACCGTGATGATGATGAGAGAGACACGCAAACTCCAAATATACAGCAGCAGGCGTCAGGGTCGGGATGGAACCCACGACCTCCTGTACACCAGGCGAGGTAGTTAACATCTCATAGCCACCGCGGCTAGGAGATGTCGTATCGTTTGACAAGTTCACTTTTGACAAAAACAATAACTTTGCTCACTTCAAAAGGAACGTATGAACTCAATTTTAATTAGTGCTGGAAGTTGCTGGCCGTTTGGCGCTTTGTGGCCATTGGGCATCTGGCTTCATGATGATGATGATGGGACCACAAATCGCTTGTGCCAGGCTAGGTGCACTTTAGTGAAAGATATTCTTTGGTTTTTTCGGTAAAGTCAGGTAGGTAAAAATTTAAAATTAATAAAAGTAGAATCAAAATAAAATAAAAATCACGACGTTTCGGAGGCAACACAAGCTTCCGTCTTCAGGTGGAACCGTCACAGCACGGTAGCTGTATCACTTGATTTTTATTTTATTTTTTAGTAATTTTTTTTTACCTACGTGACTTTATCGAAAAAACCTAAGAATATGAATCCTTGCAGTCACGAAAGCTTCAAATCTAGAATTTAGCGAAAGAACCATGGAATATTATGATTATTTTTCACGAGGACAATTGACCAATGGAACCGCGCTCAGACGAACTTCTCAAATGAATGTTCACGAATTACCACAACAACGAGACGGATATTTAGTCACAAAAAACTCACCGCGGCTGATTAATATTCATGAGCCACAGATCTCCCCCCCCACAACCCCCACCGCCGAGGAGCGTTCGACCAATCAGCGGCGGTCAAAATCTGAGTGTGTTTGACCAATGAAAGGCCTTTAAACATGAATCGTCATGAACCTCGTGAGGCCATCCACAATGAACACTCACCGTGCCTGATTAATATTCATGAGCCACCCATCTCCCCCCGCCACCCCCCCCCCCGCGAAAAGTGTCGACCAATCAGCAGGCGTTCAAAATCTCAGCAACCTCCCCCCCCACCCCACCTCTGGTCATGATATATTAAGCAGATATGAATATTCATGAGGGCGTTTAACCAATGAAAAGCCATTAAAAGTGAATAGTAATGAGCCTCGATGAAGAAAAGCTCACCGTTGCTCATGAATATTCATGAGCCACCCATCTCCCCCCCCGCCCCGCGCGCAAAGAGTCTCGACCAATCAGCGTGCGTTAAAAATCTCAGCAACCCCACCCCCCCCTTTTCTAATGATTTCCGAAGTAGCTAATGAATATTCATGAGGGCGTTCGACCAATCGGCGTGCGTTTCGAAGTAGCTAATGAATATTCATGAGGGCGTTCGACCAATCAGGTGGCGGCTGTGGGTTGATAAAACTGATTAAGTTTGCCGCTCCCCTCCCCACTGGTTAGTCGCGGGAGGTCTGGAGTGCAACGTGAGGAGAGTTTCGCGCTCTCCTCTCTCTCTCCTCTCGTTCTTTTCTTTTAACAAATGTCTCGTCGAAGTTAACCTAATCGTCAAACTCGGGAGGGCGAGGGCGTTTCTTCAACGTTTTCGGTTTAGTTTTTTGCTATTTGGGCGAAGACTTTGCGAAGAAAATCGTCTTGGAAGTCGAGGGGTTGGTTGTTGGTGACAATAATTTGGGGGGGTAGGGGGGGCGGGGACTTTTAAATGTTAAACTAAAAACAATTCTAATTCTCCCCACGCTTAACTAAAATGTTACAATAATCTGGGGGGCGCGGGGCGGACGACACAAATGTAAGAAGATACAATTTTATTTAGAGGAATACAAATTTTAAATGTGTTTGTGTGTGTAAAATTTGGCTTAAACTGCATAAAAAACACGTTGAGGTCGGTGTATAAGTGTGGTACACTAGGAGTGCCTTTGTTACTTGACACGTTAATCGTTAGCGCGGATTTTTCCTCAAGACTTGTGAGAGAGAGCAAGAAAGAAAGAAAGAGTCTTTTGTTAGTTGAATTTTTCAACGTTTTATTTTGTTTTAACAACAAAACAACAACAACAAAAACCATCACATTTCCTCACCGCCGCACCAATGGAGCTACTCCTGTTCGCCCTTCTGTTGGTCACCGTCGTCAGGTCTTCTGCCAAAGGTACGAACACTTAAACACTTAAACACACAAACACATTAATGCGTTACATCTTACCACGCTAAGCGACATTAACAAAGAACAACTTTGGGGTCTTTCGTTAAAGTCACTTAGGATGGGTTCGAATTAATTTTAAAATAAACAAAACTACGACGTTTCGATGGCAGCTAAGTTTTTCGCTCATTGTATTTTATTATAATTAGAACCCAACTCGGTGACTTTAACGAAATACGCTAAAAAAGTCGAGATTTTACGAAGTTTACTGTACACAAAGACAAAGATCCCCCGTGTAGCTGCCGGGGCAAGGGCACTGTAGGTGCACCTGTACCACGCCCGGCCGCCTTTGTCTCTCCAAAGACATACAGCCTTAACAGACTATATTCTTAGGTTGTTTCCGGTAAAGTCACGTAGGTAAAACATCAAAATTAATGAAAATAAAATAAAACAAAAATCACGACGTTTCGGAGGCAACACAGACTTTTGGGAAGTGCTCTAAGTAATCGCCTCTAAAGGCCATCACAGCACCACGCACAGATCAGGTCCTCATTTGAGGCCGAGTCGACCTAGGGGGAGGCTCAGGACCGGTTCGGATTAATCGTCGCTGGTGGTGTCCGTGAGCGGGAATCGAAGCGAATGTTTCGTGGCGCTAACCGCTGCACCACCGCTCCCCACAGGTAAACACCACCATCACCATCAACAACAACAACAACATCATTATCATCATCAACTTCGTGAGACAAAGTCTCTATCCACTGCTAGATGAGAGAGTTGAGAGGAAACGCAAAAAGTTTCGGCGAGGGATGAGATGTGGAGCCGGTTGGGTCAAAGGTTGTGTAAATGGGTCTTGATTTGGAGTCATATTCTTAGGTTTTTTCGGTAAAGTCACGTAGGTAAAACATCAAAATTAATAAAAATAAAATAAAGATCACGACGTTTCGGAGGCATCTTTATTTTATTTTTATTAATTTTGATGTTTTACCTACGTGACTTTACCGAAAAAACCTAAGAATATGAATCCTTGCAGTCACGAAAGCTTCAAATCTAGAATTGATTTGGAGTTTTCGTAAATGCATGAATCCACAACTCTTTGGTTCTTTCGGTAAAGTCACGTAGGTAGAAAAATAAAATATTTAAAACATGTATACCGACGTGAAATATATACCTACGTGACTTTACCGAAAGAACCAAAGAGTATTGGTTTCTGTTGGGGTTTGGCGAAAAACCAAATGTGGTGGTCGTGGTTGATTGAGGGAGGAGATGGAGCGAACTAACGGGGGATGATTGCCCACGACGTTCATCCAGCAGTGGATCGCTCTTCGTGTCACGTGTTGTACACGCGCTGTGTGTGTACTCTACAAAGTAACAGGAAGACCTTCTGTATCCTGTGAACAGATTGTTGGGGCCGGTGCTGTTTGTAGCGAGTAGCAGCCACGCCCGGCCGCCTTTGTCTCCCTTAGTGGGTGACGCTTAACTACACACCGCTACACCGGGTCACTGATTTGAGGCCGAGTCGATCTAGGGGAGAGTCCCCAGGGCCGGTTCGGATAATCGTCACCGATGTTGGTCGTGGTGAGCGGGAATCGAACTCGGGTCACCGGTTTTCGCAGCGTAGCGCGCTAACCGCTGCACCACCGCTCCCCCCGGAACGCACAAAGACAAAGATCCCCCCTCAACAGTATAGCTTTAAGAGACATGGGGGGGGGGGGGGCAAGTGCTGTTAGCGAGTAGCAGCTCCTATGAAGGCCGGGGAGGGTGTGAGTGGGTGGCCAGTACCACACAAAGGCACCCTCAGACGCATAACTCATGGCAATGTTACTGCGCAGTGCGATTTAACGGCGGCACTTGCTCAATCAGCTGCTGGATAGAGGCCCTGAAGAATGTCTTTAGACCATAACTTTTCTCAACTCCCCCCCCTCTCCTTCCACGCTCGTGGGTGCCGGGCGCGAAACGTCGATCACCGCTGATGCTGACCGTTCGTTTCGAACTCGTGACCCCGGGAGGAGACTTCCTAGAGGTTTTGGAACGATTTTCACCATCCAGCAGTGGAGTTAACAAAAGGGGTATGGGGGGGGGGGGCCTGTTGATTTATTTCACCAGTGGAAGCCGCGATCTACCCTACTGCTGGATGAAGGCCGACCCCCCCCCCCCCCCACACGAAGCCCTTTTTACATCTTTCACCATCCCCGCGATGTTCAGGGGCGCGGCGGTGGCTAGGAGATGTTGACTACCTCGCCTGGTATACAGGAGGTCGTGGGTTCGATCCCGACCCTGACGCCGGCTGTTGTATATGTGGAGTTTGCGTGTCACTCTCTCTCATCATCATCACGGTGGCTAGGAGATGTTAACTACCTCGCCTGGTGTGCAGGAGGTCGTGGGTTCGATCCCGACCCTGACGCCTGCTGCTGTATATTTGGAGTTTGCGTGTCTCTCTCTCTCATCATCATCACGGTGGCTAGGAGATGTTAACTACCTCGCCTGGTGTTCAGGAGGTCGTGGGTTCGTTCCCGACCCTGACACCTACTGTATCTTTGGAGTTTGCGTGTCTCTCTCATCATCATCATCACGGTGGTTAGGAGATGTTAACTACCTCGCCTGGTGCACAGGAGGTCGTGGGTTCGATCCCGACCCTGACGCCGGCTGTTGTATATTTGGAATTTGCGTCTCTCTCTCATCATCACGGTGGCAAGGAGATGTTAACTACCTCGCCTGGTATACAGGAGGTCGTGGGTTCGATCCCGACCCTGACGCCGGCTGTTGTATATTTGGAGTTTGCGTGTCTCTCTCTCTCTCATCATCTTCACGGTGACTAGGAGATGTTGACTACCTCGCCTGGTGCGCAGGAGGTCGTGGGTTCGATCCCGATCCTGACGCCGGCTGCTGCTGTATATTTGGAGTTTGCGTGTCTCTCATCATCATCACGGTGAATAGGAGATGTTAACTACCTCGCCTGGTGTACAGGAGGTCGTGGGTTCGATCTCGACCCTGACGCCTGCTGCTGTATATTTGGAGTTTGCCTGTCTCTCTCATCATCATCATCACGGTGACTAGGAGATGTTAACTACCTCGCCAGGTGCACAGGAGGTCGTGGGTTCGATCCCGACCCTGACGCCTGCTGCTGTATATTTGGAGTTTGCCTGTCTCTCTCATCATCATCATCATCACGGTGACTAGGAGATGTTAACTACCTCGCCTGGTGCACAGGAGGTCGTGGGTTCGATCCCGATCCTGACGCCGGCTGCTGTATATTTGGAATTTGCGTGTCTCTTTTCTCTCCCCGTGGCCGCATGGATTTGTCTCTGGGTTTTCCGGTTTTTCCCTCCCACGTTTAGAAGCAACATCACGCGTTCGAGAGTATTTGATTATTGCTATACATTTCCACGTGATGATGATGATAGGCGACTTCGTTTTGTTTGCATTGATTACTGCTATACATTTCCACGTGATGATGATGATGATAATAGTTGTGTTTGCATTTGTGGCCAAGTCGCTTCTGAAAATAAGCTCCAAAACAGCTCAGTGCGCCTTAGCTGGCAAATTAAAAAGTTTAGTTTCATGGATTTACGAGCTCCATATTCCTTACTTTTAAAATAGTTCGCCAACTCTTAAACGACGTTTTGTATGTTCATTGCTATGTTTTCATCACGTTGTTATTATAAAAAATTTCAAGTTAATACCGCAATGGCAAATATGTAACATTCAACGCAAGTACGCACACACACACTTCGCTGGAGTTTTCTGGTGAATTGTTGTTTCGGAACAACGTACAAAGGAGGGTACAATCACAATATGTATCATCACCACCCGCCATGTTCTATCCACTGCTGGACAATATAGCCTCCCCAATGCGCGCACACACATTGAGTTACGTACACGCGCGGCATGGGACCTTGGAGATGGAGCGCTGCATTTGGCGCTGGCTGAGATTCGATTCGCATCGGTGGATGCAAGCTGGTGGTGGGTGATGGAGGTGGTTGAGGGTGGTGGAGGTGGTGGTGGGTGATGGAGGTGATGGAGATGGTGGTGGGTGACGGAGGTGGTGGTGGGTAATGGAGGTGGTGGTGGGTGATGGAGGTGGTGGTGGGTGATGGAGGTGGTGGTGGGTGATGGAGGTGATGGAGATGGTGGTGGGTGACGGAGGTGGTGGTGGGTGATGGAGGTGGTGGTGGGTGGTGGAGGTGGTGGTGGGTGGTGGAGGTGGTGGTGGGTGATGGAGGTGGTGGTGGGTGGTGGAGGTGGTGGTGGGTGGTGGAGGTGGTGGTGGGTGATGGATGTGGTGGTGGGTGATGGAGGTGATGGAGATGGTGGTGACGGAGGTGGTGGTGGGTGACGGAGGTGGTGGTGGGTGACGGAGGTGGTGGTGGGTGACGGAGGTGGTGGTGGGTGGTGGTGGTGGTGGTGGGTGATGGAGGTGGTGGTGGGTGGTGGAGGTGGTGGTGGGTGATGGAGGTGGTGGTGGGTGATGGAGGTGGTGGTGGGTGATGGAGGTGGTGGTGGGTGATGGAGGTGGTGGTGGGTGATGGAGGTGATGGAGATGGTGGTGGGTGACGGAGGTGGTGGTGGGTGATGGAGGTGGTGGTGGGTGATGGAGGTGGTGGTGGGTGGTGGAGGTGGTGGTGGGTGATGGAGGTGATGGAGATGGTGGTGGGTGACGGAGGTGGTGGTGGGTGATGGAGGTGGTGGTGGGTGATGGAGGTGGTGGTGGGTGATGGAGGTGGTGGTGGGTGATGGAGGTGGTGGTGGGTAATGGAGGTGGTGGTGGGTGATGGAGGTGGTGGTGGGTGATGGAGGTGATGGAGATGGTGGTGGGTGACGGAGGTGGTGGTGGGTGATGGAGGTGGTGGTGGGTGATGGAGGTGGTGGTGGGTGGTGGAGGTGGTGGTGGGTGATGGAGGTGATGGAGATGGTGGTGGGTGACGGAGGTGGTGGTGGGTGATGGAGGTGGTGGTGGGTGATGGAGGTGGTGGTGGGTGATGGAGGTGGTGGTGGGTGATGGAGGTGGTGGT